TCTTGTTCTCTTGCTTTATATTCTCCCAAACAAAGTCTTTCTGTTCTGAGCCACCTAGAGCTGGGGGTGGAGTGACACAAGCACTCCTTTGGCCACCAGCACTAGGATTGTACTGAGTCAGATCTGAAGGCAGCACAGCACTGAATCTCACCCAAGGTCTTCTGTAACCACTCCCTGGCTACCGTCTATGTTCGCTCAAGGCCTTGGGGCTCCAAAATCAGTAGATGGCAAAGCCAGCCATGCCTGTGTCCTTCCCTTCAGGGTGACAAGTTTCCCAGTCCCCAGACAGGTCCAGAGGTGCTGTCCAGAAGCCAGGGACTGGAGTCAAAAACCTGAGAAGTCTACCTGGTGTTCTACTGTACTGCAGCTGAGCTGACACTCAAACCACAAGAAGCAGTCCTTCCCACTCTTCCCTACACTTTCCAAAGGCAGAGAAGCCTCACTCCATGGCCACTGCCACCACAAGCCCACAGTGAGTACTGCCAGACTGCCACCAATGTTCCCTTAAGGCCCAAGGGCTCTTCAGTCAGTTTGTGCTGAATACTGCCTGGTCTGGGACTCACCCTTCAGGGCAGTGAGCTCCCCTCTGGCCCAGAGCAGGTTCAGAAATGCCATCCAAAAGCCAAATGCTGGTATCGGGGACCCCAAAAGTCCACTTGGTGCTCCACCCCACTATGGCCAGAGCTGGTACCTAAGGTGCAAGACAAGTCACCTGTACATTTCTCTCTACTTGTCACAAGTGGAAAGATCCTTGCCCCATAGCCACCACAGCTGGGAATGTGCTCAGTCTCAACTGAAGCCAGCAAGTCTCAGAGTATTACCAAGGCCCACAACGTTCTAGATAGTTTACCTGGTTATGGATGCTGGCTATTTAAGGTCCAATGGCTTTTAAAATTAGCAGGACTGCCAGGAGTGGGTTCTTCTTTTCAGGGCAACATGTTTCCTTCTAACCCATGGTGTGTCTAGAAATGTCATCCATGAGCTAGGGCCTCACGTCTCTAATGGGTTCCCTACCCTGCTGTGGCTGAGCTGGTATCCAAGATGCAAGACAAAGTCCTCCCCACTCTTCCCTCCTCTCTCCTCAAGCAGAATGAAGGGGTCTCTTTTGGAGCTGCAAACTATGCAGCCTGTGGTTAGGGGAGGAGTGATGCCAGCACTTCCTTAGCCACCCTAACTGATGTCTCAGTAGGTCTAATTCCTCGCACAATCCACTGGCTCTGGGCCCATTTCAGCATTAGGACTCACCTAGGAGTTGCAGTTCTTGTGGCCCAGGCTGCCTTTGAAATGTATTTGAGGCCCCAGAGCACTTTAGCCCACAGGAGCAAGACTTGTGGGAACTTATGTTCCCATGCTGGGATTGGCAATTCCTCTCAGTCTTGGACTGGTTTAAATGCCCCCTCCATGGTTTAAATGACATCCATGGCTGGGTGTCATGTGAGTTTGGTCTGTTTTTACATTCTACTTGAACAAGGCAGCACTGAGTCAATGCCTCATAATTACTCCACGCTTCCTCTCCCCAGAGCATACAAATGCTTCACACCAGGCCACCACTGCAAGTGGTTTCAGGAGGGGTGGCATTAGTGATTCAGGACTGTTTCTCCTGCCTCTTCTGTGCCTCTTTCAGTGATAAAACCAAGTTAAAACCAAGTACTGTGAATACTCACATGATGATTGGTTCTTATGAAGGTGCTTTTGTGTGTGTATACATCTTAAATTGGTGTCCTTGTTGGAGGGACAATTAGTGGAGCCCTCCAGTCCACCATCTTGCTTCTGAAGAATTATCTCTAAATGTTGATAAATGTAGTCACCTTTGGGGAGAAATGAGTTTGTTTTGAGAATGTTTATGTGAGGTGAATAGTTACGAGTATTTTCCAGTTATTAATTAAAATAAAAAATAAATAAAAGAAAAAAATTTAAATATTTTCCCAAATGAGAAACTGAATATAAAGTTTCTAAAAATATTTTATTTAGCATTCAACTAATATATATTGGGGCCTACAATACAAAAGATACTGCCCCGGATGCCATGCAAGATTCTAAGAAAGCCTACAATATACTCTTTCCCTTCAAAGATTTTATAAACTTGAAGAGATAGAAGTAGAAAAATTAGGCTACCAAAATATGCAATATTAAGCAGACAATGATCAAGGTCACCAGGAAGATCAAAGTAAGTTTCATAGAGTTTCAGAGAAGGAATTGATTTCACTGCATTTGAGCAAAAGTACTCTTGGGGGAGCTAGGCAAAGGAAAGAATATAAACCAAGGGGCAGAAATTGGAAATTACTGGGAAATTTTGAGCCATCACATTTGATTTGACAATAGATTAATTTCAGGACATTACTGAGAACTGAATCTTGAAAGATCTTTTAGGACCTTAAATGCCATTTTAAAGGCTAGCTTAATTTAGCAGACAGGTGAAACCAGCAAAGACTTTCATCAGAAGTGGGTTTTAAGAAGATCAGTTTGCCAAGGCAGGTGGAGCATTTGAGGTCAGGAGTTCAAGACCAGCCTGGCCAACATGGTGAAGCTCCATCTCTACTAAAAATACAAAAAAATTAGCTGGGCATAGTGGCAGGTGCCTGTAATCCCAGCTACTTGGGAGGCTGAGGCACGAGAATTGCTTAAACCTGCCAGAGGTTGCAGTGAGCCGAGATCGCGCCACTGCACTCCAACCTTTGTTGACAGAGCAAGACTCTGTCTCAAAAAAAAAAAAAAAAAAAAAGAAGAAGAAGAAGAAGATCCATGTATCCGAGGTGTGTTAGATAATTGGAAAAGGAGAAAATAAAATTAAGGAAACAATCACCAAACAGGCTGTTGCAAGTATTGCAAGCATCCAAGCAGGAAGATAAACTATACATTCAGGTGAGAGCAACTGCAGTGGAAAGCAGAGAGTAGAGTCAAGAGCCAGTGCAGAAAACAACCAAACAAATAGAAAAAGTGAGTTAAATAAATAGAGTGATGTGGTGTAGAGGCAAATATGTTTAGTTTGCATGACTAAGCTAATGTTTATACCATTTACAAAAGTAAAGAGGCTGAAAAGGCTGAGTCTGCTTCAAGAAGAGGGGAATGATTTGGGTATTGAACACTCTGGGTTAAGATGCCAGCAGTATACTAGCAGAAAAATCCAGCAGGTAGAATTGAGGGACTATGATCCAGGAGGCAAGAGAACTCTGGAGGCAAGGATTTGGGAGTCCTTTCTATAGAGGTAAAGGGTAGTCACCAAAACCATGGCAGTGCATGAGACAAGGGGAGGGGAGGGTAGAGTGAAGGAAAAAAAAAAGGAGGAGAGGAGAAGAATCTCAGGAGTGCCAAGGAGGCATCATTTAGGAAACTTGAGAAAAACTATCCCTGGTTGCAAGAGAACTACTACAGTAGTGTAGCAGGAAGCATTCGTTTCAAGAAGCAAGGGGATATCAGCAGTGTCCTATGCCCTGTAGTGAGGGAAGGGTGAGAGTAAGGCTGAGAAAGAAAGAAAAAACTGACTTGGATGATTTGAGAGTCATCAATGGTGAAATCATTATACCACCAATTATGTTTCAATATTGCAATTTGACCAGAAGTAAGATCCCAATCAGGATTGCAATCTGCAGATTGGAATAAGATGAGGTGAGAAAGAGGAGCCAGCCAGTGCAGGCTACTAATTTAACAAGGAAGGAAAAGAGAGGTGGGGTGCACATTGAGAGGGCATTGTGTGGGAAAGACTGAGGGTCCTTCTTACAGAAAGGGAAAAGGGTGAGACTGAAATTACCCAAGAGGAGATCACTGAGTGATACTTGATCATCAGCCCAGGACGGGGCCTTCAATTTGACAAGGAGAACAAACCTTCCCCAGATGCCAAAGGAAAGGAAGAGAGTGAAGAACAAAGGAACATTTTGAGATGGAGAGGAATATGAGCAGGGAAGATAGATATTTCCAATGCAGAGTGGGAGCTGGTGGCATTTTGGAGAGGTAGGTGAGGAGGGTGAGTCTGAAGATTTGAGAATTATGGAGAAGCTTTAAAACAACCCCTAGGCTGGTGTCAGAGGACACAATAAGAGTAACAAGTAAGGAAGTAAAAGGCTGGTAAGCAGCAACATAGTTGGTTCTCTGTGTGTGTGTGTGTGTGTGTGTGTGTATGTGTCTGTCTCTCTGCCTGTCTTTGTCTGCCTATCTGTCTGTCTGTCTCTTTTTGGGCTCTCGGACTCTCAGGCTCCTGTGGGCCTTGACTTTCAGATCAGTGACTGCTCCCAGTCAGATTTCAAAGACACAGGGTTGGAACTCCAAGGTTGGCAATTCCAGTCACTAAGACCATGCCACCTGAGATTGCTGGGAGAGGCTTTTCCAGGCCCCTCCTGCAAGAAAACAGATGCCAAAGAACAAGGTAAAGAGGTATGGAAAAAAAAGTTTGGACCCTAGCCATCTTTTTACTACTCACTGCACTAAAATGTCAGAATCGGGGAAATGCCTGACCTCGTTTCTTGGGAAGAGTGAGGCGTATATCAAAATACATAAATCCTAAAAAGCTCATTGTGAAGGGCAGAGTCCTAATAATTTGTATTTTGATAGCTTTTAAATATTTTTCAAGTGGGTGTTTCCAGAAGTAAGGTAAATAGTCCCATTTTGTGGGGCTTTTGATTAAATTCCAAACATATCAATGTTCTGGGGTGTGTCCAGTGACTCTGATACCTCTCGGCAGGTTTGCCAAGAAAGTGCAAATGTGAGTCTCAGGGAAACAAGGAAACCATTCTCCCAGTCTCCCAGTAGCAAGTTGCAGGGCTGTGCAAGGAAGAAATGTGCAGACTTGTGTCTCCCCAGTGAAGAAGAGATTAGAATTAGAATGGAATAAATTATCCATGTGGGCAAGAGCTGTTACTATGTAACAATAACACTTTGTGTTCCATTCAAATTGCAAACCCTTTGACATGCCCTGAGCTTTTACTTTCTCTCTGGACTCCAAGAAGGGACTTACTAAGTGCATCCTAGGTCCAGAGAGAAGCTGCATCCTCCCCCAACCCACTTACTGTTCCTCACTCTTTGCTCCTTCTTCACCAGTTAGTCTCCTTCCATTCCTTTTAGCCCACCTCTGCTCAGTCTCCATCACCAAACAGTCCATTTTTGCCTGGAGGAGGAAACAAGACTATATTGAGTACACAAAAAGACATTTGCTTATTGAGATTGTATGAGATCCTCACAAAAGTTGTATAGACAAGTGATGGTCAAAATATTTAACAATACATTTGACACAGTCATCAGCCACCCAGAAACTATTGAAGTTTTACTGAAGCGGAGTGGATTCACCCACTGTGACAGGCATTACTTGTTATTTGCTGGACTGTGGAAAGGTCCTAGGACAGGGTAGGGCATGAATGCCCAGAGTAGCAGGAATAGGAGATACTTGAGTGGCAGTAACTTTTACCAACTGGGACAGAAGTATTTCAATGTTTCACCAACCAGTACTGCTGAATCTTAGCCATGACTTATGTCCATATAATAGATAAAAATTGGGCCATGGAGGTGTTAAATAACTCATCCAAAGCCACTCATTGAGTACCAGGTTTGGGACCCATTGACTCTACTGTGAGGCCTTTTCCACCACTCCCCACCTCACTGGCCCAATACCTCTTCTCCCTCATCTATCTATCTCTGTTTAGAGATGAGAATATGTAGTAGTCTGGAGAGGGCATGCAAGGGCACCTGAAGACCCTCTCCCAGGAAAACTCTAAAGCTGTGTCTATTAACTCTCTCCTGTGGTCCCACTAAAAGTTTTCTCAGTAGTAGTAAGGTCAGGGGAGGAGATTGAAAAGAAAACTTATTATTTCCTCTTTTTCCCCTAATGAGGCAAGAATCTTGTTTGGTCTGTTCTTCATGATGTCCTCAGAGTACAGCACATGATTGATTCCTAATACAATTTTGTCAAATGAATGAGTGAGTGAGTATAAAGGTATTTCTGCAAAGTGCCTTTATACTTTATCTCATTGGACCCTCAAGAAGTGTTTAGAAACATTTTTATTTCAGTTTACTAATAAGGAAGCTCAGCTGCAGAGAGGAACACTCATTATCACAATACTAACTGGGGTAGAGTCAGGATTGTGACTTGCCAGATCCCTGTCCAGGGCCCTTTCTCCCACATTGCAGTATCCCCTAAATATGAATAAAAGTTAATAGAATTAGAAAAATGAAGTTACTTATAATTTACAACCTGTAATATACTTAGTGATGAGCAATGGCAAACAGGAGAGCTGGATCTCCTCCTCTCTCCTGTTTACCGCCTCACTCCCACCGCAATTCATCAGACCCAAGCCAGTCCCTCACTCCCTCCAGGGCTCAACTATGTGACTCTAGGGTAGGATCGGACTTCACCTCTTTGTGATTTTTTAGTGAATTTCCACAGGGAATTATGTTTTGTGAACTATGCCAGCTGGCATAGCCCTTCCTTACACACCACCCTCACTAAGTTCAAATATGACACTCAATGGAAAGAAAAGACTGCATCCATCTACCTAACTAGGGAAAATATCTACTCGCCAACTCCCTCCCTGAAGCCTTTAGAAGATAAGGGAATTGAGTGGCTTCATACAGTTGCCTTCTTTTTTTTCCTCTTTTTATCTATTACAGAAGTTTTCAAAGTGTGGTTTCTGTACCAGCAGCATTGACATCACCTGGGAACTTGTTAGAAATGCAAATTGTAGGCTGGGCGCAGTGATTTATGCCCGTAATCCCAACGTTTTGGGAGGCCAAGGCAGGTGGATCATGAAGTCAGGAGTTCAAGATCAGAGATATGGTGAAACCTCATCTCTACTAAAAATACAAAACTTAGCCAGGTGTGGTGGCGCACACCTGTAATCCCAGCTGCTCAGGAGACTCGGCAGGAGAATTGCTTGAACCCAGGAGGCGGAGCTTCCAGTGAGCTAAGATAGCGCCACTGCACTCCAGCCTGGGTGACAGAGCGAGACTCCATCTCAAAAATATATATATATAAATAAATAAATAAAATAAATGTGAATTCCAGTGTCCCAGACCCACCAGAATTAGAGGTTCTGGGGGTGAGGTCCAGGGATTTGTGTTTTAAAAGCCCTGTCGATGATTGTGGTGTGTGCCAATGTTTGAGTACTACTATTTTCTTATATCCTGTTTTTTTCCTACCTAAGCCAGGGAGTCACTTACTTTCTGTTCCCAGAGGTCTTTGGGGACCCCTGTGCTCACTCAGTGCTCTAACCCTTCTTCTTTCCACATAAAAGCCTGTAGTACGATCTTGTTAATGACAATTTTAATTTATCTCCATGAGGTAAAGTGCAAGTAAAGGTAAAGTAAGGGCTGGAATAGATGATCTGGTGAGATTTTTTGAAATCTAGAAGCTCTGATTCTTCAGGAGAGCCATATCAAAGCAGATGGCTTAAGGAGGGCAAAGGAGGACTTCTGCCTTGTGAGTTTCCTTTTGCTGTAGGCCCCAGGATGGGAGTGAAGTGAGGACACAGGCCAGTTGCCAACTATGGTTACAGCCCCAGGAGATCTTTGATGTTCTCCCCTTGCTGTCTAGGTCCCTGTTTTCAAGAATTTATCAGAATGACCCAGACTTATTAAACTTGTTCTATGTACCTTGGACAAAATAACTGCTGAGTCAATCCTGTAAGGAGTCTTGTATTGCCAGCCTAAAAACCTGTTTATAGTTGACTTCCTCTGGCAAACTGCTATGAGACGCAAGAAATAGCACCATCAATTTGGCACATACTGGACCATTCTCAGCATTTGCATTAGGTAGATAGTCAATGCAAGAACAGATCACAAATATATCTTAAAAATCCAATTCCTGCCTCTCTTGTCTCCCTCCTCTCTTGCCCCTTCTTCTATCTTTTCCCAAATTCCTAACCCTGAAAAGATGAATTGAAGACTCAGAAGGAAGATGATTTTTCCACATTCTGAAATTCTGACATTTAAGAAAGAAAGAGCCTAATCCCTGTTCAGTTGCCAGGCTCTGATATGCTTTTCCTGTTTAAGCATTCATAATCTACCACTCATTGATACATCTTGCCAACCACAAAAATTACTTAACTCCTGACCTTTGTAAACTTTGCTCCCTCACAACTTTCTTCAAGTTATGAAAGCACAGTAAGTAGATGGAGATGATTGGGTAGGAAAAGACAAAAATGTTAGTCTCCACTGAAGACAACAGGCAAAGGTCCTAGATTAAAGTTATGAGACTTGAGTTCTAACCAGGCCTTTGCCTCTGGTGACATCCTGAGAATTGGGGCAGGTTACTTCCCCATTGTGGGTCACTGCAAAACAAGGGGCCTCAGCAAAGCAGATCTCTAGTCTGTTTTCCAACTCTGATACAGTGACTAAGCAGGTATGACATAGATATGTCCTGTTTAGGGGTGTCAGTGTCCTTATTTGAAAACCCAGGTTTGGTGATAGCAGGTAGACTTCAACTTTTTGCCATTGGTTTTCACCGAGAGGAATGTGGGAAAGGGTGTAATGGTTGACCAACAGGTCTGCCATAGATGTGATAGGAAGAATTCCCAGAGTTTTGTGTGTTTCTTTCATAGTTCTTTCGCCCTAGCAATAGTTGTATGTATGTATCTGTTTAGTGTATTTTAGCTGCCTAAAATATAAATGCCATCCCGTAATAGAGCCCTGTGCTTGATACAAAGCCTATTAGCTGATAGGTGCTCAATACGTTTTGAATAAATGAATGAGTCTAAATAGCTTAAGGACCATATCTTGAGCATTTGGCCAACAGCAGGACAAGGCTCCACTAGTACTGGACTCACATAGTTAGAATAACCTCATTCCATTTGTCCTTTAAGGGTCCTTGCCAAATCTGATCCTTATTTCCTCTAAGACTGACCTCAGACCTTCAACTTCATAGAGGAAAGGGCAGTGGTGGTGGGAGGAGGAATTTTCCTGGGATTCAGTGAACGCCTCTTTTTGATATTGCTTCTTTATAGTATTCACTGAGAGTTTGAATAGGTGGTAAGCAGCTTGAGAAAACAGGTTCTGACTTTCCAACCACCAGGTGAATTTTCATTGACGTAAAGACCCCATTCTGCTTCCTTTTACTCTTCATTTGTGTTGGAGGGTTCATATTGTTATAGTTGGGTATTAGGCTTTACGTAAGGCTGGGAGGAAAGAAGGCTTTCTTGGTAAGCTTGGCTCTGTGGCTTGGCAGTCGCACAATTAAATGACTTTATTCCCAAACCAGATGTTCTAGTTGTTTTAATAATATCTTATGATCCCTCCTCTAAATAAAACAAAAAATCACTCCATCAGAAAGTTCTTCAGGATTACAAGTTCAAACTCTGCTATCTGATTTTACCCACCAGAGGGTAGCACCAAGATGAATTCGGAATAAATCCCTGACAAAACTCAGACATGGTTTGGGATGATTTGTTCTGGATTCTGTGTAAAAGTACCTGAGGCCACCAAGATGTCTGTAAATGCCTCATAAAGTTTCTGGGAAGACACTGGTCTCCATTTGTTCCTAGGAATAGTGTTGGGACATTGAGTAAATCCTTATAAAGTGGCACGAATTCATATTCTCCATGAACAATCAGTTTACCCAGAAGTTTATTGTGAGCTCTTCCATTGTATGTGAAGTTTGGATTCAATGATTGTTGAGGTCTCTTTAACTCAATCATTCTAAGACTTCTTGTAAGAATAATGTATTGACTTTTCCAGACTTGTCCAAATCTGCATTTAACTGGCCTGCAATAAGAAGTGGCTATTGACTTGAGGTATATCCTGGAGAGTCAAAGGATGACACATTTGGTCATATCCTAGAGAAAATGATGACACCTTTGGTCATATCTTAGAGAGTCAAAGGATGACACATTGGATCATATCCTAGAGAGTCCAACGATTACATATTTGGTCATATCCTAGAGAGTCAAAGGATGTCAAATGTGTCATCCTTTGACTCTCTAGAATATACCCTGAGTTCATATGAACTTGGGAAGATTGGGGGCTTTCTCTGAGGCCCAGGGACCCTTCTGTTTAGGTCTACATTTCCCCATAACACTCTGTAATTTTCTGAAATTTTTGGCAATTCTGGTTAATATATCTAGACCCCCCAGTAGTAGACTGTAGGCCTCTTATGAACAAGAACCATGTATATATTTTTTC